CCACCCAAAGAAGCCCACCATCAAGCGGAGCAAATTCCTGGAGGAGCTCGACTACTAAACGAAAGGCCCGTCTGAAAATGTAACTCAAAGATTCGGCACCCAACCATCAATCCGAGTTAGATCGGCCCAAATAGAACCATCACACCGCACACTACCACTACCAACGTGAAGCTAACGCAAAGCTCACGATGAGACGAGCCTGAAAACGGTTTATTTTTTTATTAAAATATTATTCTTCCTTATAAAAAGTTTTAATCAAGAAAATTTAAATTTCTGCTCAAACTATTTATTCAAACCGACGATCTAAACTTGGCACAAAAAAAAAAAAAAAAAAAAAAAAAAAAAAAAAAAAAGCATAATGGGCTAATTAAAAAGTGAGCTACACCATTCTCATCATGCGAAATATTGTAGCCAATAAAATCACTTCAAGCTTGCCTAAGGCTAAAACAAACTTTTTAATGTCATCATTGATATTTGTTTCTCGGGCTCTTGCTTGAGCCATATAAAGAACTATTCGAACAACAAATGCATCTATTTCAAGAACCCAGTTTTGGAAGCCGCAAGAATTAATAAAACCTTCACCAACTCTCACATTCAGCAATATGGGGAGAATTTACCTGAGAGAAATTTGTACCTGCATGGCATCAAAGCACAGATTTACTATTGCATCTCAAATTATCGATACTCCTATTGCTGGTGAAGGCACGGTTTTAAACTAACATATATATTTTTATCACGTTATTATATATTACTTTCCTTTGATAAAGGGGTAGTATCAAAAATAATATCAATACGATGAAGTGTAAACATCGGTTTTTAAAATACAACTCATCAACTGTCAAGTGATGCTAATAATAATGGGAAAAGTGCAAATTTACCCTTTTATAATGGTCACTTTTTATAATAACCCTCTAATCAAAACTATCTTTTATTATAATAGATCAACTTAAACAACTTAACAAAGTGGACAATATTTATTTCACAGAGTTAATTCTACAAAAATTTCGAAAACAAAAACGTTAAAGTCATGGAATTGTCATTTATTTTATTACCATTAATTTTTTTTTCTTCTTTTAAAAATAAGCACAGGTCACATCTATGACTGTGAATTGAATTTTGGATTCGGACTTTCACGAATACTTCACCATTACTTTGAATAAGCTCCCTCTCCTTTCTTGTTCTGTCGGCTGGGAGGGGATTGAGTCGCGTTTTGTACCAATTAGGTGCGTTTAGAATTGGTTTTAAAATGATTTTATTTTAATAAAAAGTAAAAATGAGATTGTTTTGAGAATTATTCTTAGACGGATTCTGAAATTGTATTTGGTTGGATTTTTAAAAGATTATTTTGAGTATAATAAAAAAATAAAATTGTGTTTATTAATTAATATATTATAATATTATTGATAAGTACTAAAAAATAAAAATAGAAAAGTGAAAACAATTTTCAACTGTTTCTAATTTCTTCATAAAAATCATTTACACTGTTTTCGTTTTCAAACATTTGCTAAACAAACGTCATTTCATTTTCTTTTGCATTTTTTACTTCTTAAAATACGTGAAAATTGTATTAAAAAATGATTCTAAACACGCACTTAATCTCTGAACTATTTGTATTATGCAATCTGGATCTCCTTTTTTATACAAATTATTATCTAAATTTTGATTCTTTTAATAGTTTTATTTTCTGACTTAATGTTTTGATCTGCTACGGCGTTTTCTTTTAAAAAAATTAAATTTAAGAAGTTCTCTCAAATAGATTTTCTCACAAAATTTAAGTGCGGAATCAAAATCACTTATTTAAACCCGTGAACTAAATGGGCTCTAAGATTTTTAATACCTAAGTCATAAGAGTTTAAAAGTTAAGAGGACCAATGGTACAAATTTTACAGTTTATTATGAAATTACATTATTAATTTTCTTGACTGGTTCCTTCTCCCGTATTCCTTATTTTCTCTTGTCTGCAATTTCCTCTTGAGGTGGATTTAAGGTCTGAGTTTGTGGTTGGAAGCATCTTGCTTTCCGGTGTTGTGCTGCAATTGTTTTGGGCAAATGGAAACCAACCTTCATTGATTCGTAGCAAAAACCAACCTTAATTGAAAAAATAATTTAATGAGAAAATAATATATACGCCTTAGATTACATTTTGTTTTGTGTTTCTTCTCTTCTCTTGTTGGATTTTCTCACTATTCCTTCAACGAATTCATTTTTGCAGAATGGAAAACATCAAAAAGAATTGAATACATAGCAATGTAGATGTGGAAAGGGGAGTGTTTGCCCAAAAACAAAACAAACAAACGAATAAAAACTAGACAAGCAAGGGTATGTTTGTTTGAGGTTGTAGGAGAGAGAAAAAGGGAGTCCAAATAATTAATTGAGAAGAAAGGAGTTTGAAGGAGTTTCTTCTTCTTCGGCGAGTTATTGGAAAATTGGAAATAGGGTGCACCGAAATCAGAAATACATTTTAAAATGTCTTTTTAGTCATTTTATTAATTAAAGGGTGCCTTAATCTTTTTGGGGGTGTGAATAAAATTTCCCTTAAAATACCATTTCAACCTTACATATCAAAACGGCGCCTTTTGATATGAATAACTTAGGCCTCGTTCACTTCGCGGATTCGAGTTTTCAATTCGAGCTAAGATGTGACATTTTCTGAGAGCTTTTTACTGTAGCAGAAAAAGTTGATGTCATATTTTCTGAGAGCTTTTTACTGTAGAAATCTAAAACTGAAAACTCGAATCGGTGAAATGAACGAGGCCTTAATATTGTAACCAATTAATCACAACATAATGTATCTTGTAAAAGAACAAAATCAATAAAGATTAATGGGCTCGTTTAGAACTCATTCTAAAACGATTTTATTTTTTGTATGAAAATAAAAATGAAAACGTTTTCAATCTCAAACAGAAATCATTTTTAAAAATGCATTTGGTTGTTTTATTAAGAGATTGTTTTTCTGTGTAAAAAAACCCATTAATGTCTTTCTTTCTCTCTCTCTGCTCGAGAGAGGAGAAAATAAAAATAAAAAATAAAAAACGACTAAAAGTCTTTTTTCATTTCTCTCTCATTTTACACTAAACCAAAAAATCATTTTCATTTCTGTTTTTTGTTTTTATTGTGCCAAACACCGTTTTAAAAACGTTTTCATTTTTTCTTTCTCATAAAATGTGAAAAATAAAAACGGGATCAATTTCAAACATGGCCAACGTTTCTCACTACCACATAGATGTGAAAGTTTGGACTTAGTCAATTGGTCCGATCCGAGGCCCTACATTGTTGGTTCGAGTCCGACCCAACCTGCTTAAGTGATCAGGCCAATTTGATTTGCCCAAACCTCTAGGTCGGGCCAGACTGAGATTTTGAGCCTGAAATCTTATTCATACCGAGCAACACTTTTTTATGAATTTTTCTTAAAAATACCTTATAAATTTCAAGTCCGGAAAGTGAAAATATTAAATTTCCATTTGTGTCCGGGCCGCATGGCCCAAACTTTCACCTCTACTACCACTCCTTATAAGGCTACGCTTCATGCATTGTTGGAACCAAGGCAAATCAAATCAGCACGAGTCTCAATCCTACCAAAAGAAAAACACAAGTTACAGGTTTTCCTTCTGAATTATAGACTCTGTCACAAAATTCTTATGGAACATTATTTTTAGCTTTTTTCCCATCGAACTTCAACAACTATTACAAACTTTTCCACTCAACTAAATTTTTAGAGGAAAATGTCACGAAAAATGCAAAAACTAACCCAAAAAAAAAACTCCTCATATTAATATTTTTAACCGAAATAATACATATTACACAAATAATAAGTGTCTTAGTACATAATTACTCTGTTAGCTCCTTCTTGTTGGTCACACAGAATTACTCTCTCTGATGATGGGATGCCAAAAAGAATAAAATGTCACGTGTGATCTGTAAACCATAACCACTATGTATAGATAACTTCTCTGTTATCTTTTGGTATTTCTATTTTAACATATCATAAAAATAGAAATTATCCTTAAATCTCTACACATTAAATGCTCATACCTTATCAGATACATTAAAGCCTAAATTATCCCAACTTTAACCAATCACTTTTAAATTAATTCTGCAACACATAATTATTCACATGAGCCTAATATTGAATTAAGAATCTAACAATAATGTCTCTTGAATAAGAGAAAATACTATAAGAATATTGATGAGGCATTATTAGTGTTCAACACTATACACTAAAAAAAATAAATCGTATTACGTCAAACATGAACTTTACAGATAGGGTTTACTTTTTATCAAGGGAGAAAGAGGGATATAGGCCAAGACTTGAGATGAATTAAAATTAATAGGCTAATAGTTTACATAAGTTAATAAATAGGCCAAATTACTGTTTTCGTCCATAACTTGTCTGGTTATGAACCATAACTTGACAAGTTATTCCCGATTTTTGTCCATAACTTGTCTGGCTATGAACCATAACTTGACAAGTTTGTCTATAACTTATCTGGTTATGAACTATAACTTGACAAGTTATGGTCTATTAATTTCTATAACTAAAAGTTAGCCTATATAAACTTTTCATATTGGCCTATTTCTTACTATTTCCCTTTTATCAATTTGTGGTGTTCAAAAATTTGTCCAAGCTTTTTCCCCTAACATGTTGAGAGAGGGCCGTAGCCCATAGATTTGCGCCTATTCATATTAAAGTCACCTTATACATACCAACATTGTAATTTAGGTACTGATCAGTAATTTGTAAATTAATGTACTGCTTACATTAATACTTGAGCATTTCCTTAGCAATATATACGCGGTACATGTCAAGACAATTTCCATACAATAAATCCAAACGATTAGCAAGTAAAGAACAAAAACATTATGCAATAATCATCTGAGAAATCAGCCCACAATTTATTCAAGGTTTCATCACAAACGACATCTATACACAGTATAGATAGAAAAATATAATTTATACAGTAGTTAGCTGTAAGTTATAATTTTGTAATGAAAATACGAGTGTGTATATATATATATATATATATATATATATAGCTAGAAATTAAATAATTCCCCTTCTGCGAATACCAATGGCCAAGCGCCAAGCATCAAGGATGTCCTCGGAGAGAAAGCTAGCGAAGAACCATTGAAGAGAGTGGGCCCAGTAGGGCGTGCAACGAGCTTCATAACCAATCCTGCGAATTGCAGCTTTTGCGTAATCCTCTGCTGATGGTATAAACAACGACGTTTTCTCTATCGACGCTACCTCCGACACCATTTTCGTTACCACATATAACGGTACCTGAATTATCATCGTCAATAATATTATAGGTAAACTCTTAAGTCCGTACACCTCATCAGTCCTGTCCAGTAAATACAACTCCTTTTATTTGTATAACATCATTTCTACGTCATGTAATTTAAGTATGACACTAAAGGGTTGTTTTTTTTGTATTTTTGAGTTAGGGTGATTTGAGTAATGATTTTGAATTAAGTTTGAGTTATAACTTGAGTTGAAGTTGTAACTTGAGTTTGTATTTAAATATGCACATTTGAGTTATGATTTGAATTGAGAATCTATTTGAGTTTGTATTTAAGTGGGTCAAAACTTAAATTTATATTTAGATAATATTTTAATAAAAACTCAATGGTGATAAAAAATTTTAATAAGGTATATAAGTGGAGTTTTATTCGTCTTTTCGTTGTGAATGCATAGAAAAAAAAACATCTCAATTAGAATTAAAACGAAAAAGTTATGACATTTTTAAGAATAGAAAAAATATTGTTCATTAACTTGAGTTCGAGTTTATAAACTCGAGTTGAAGAGGAAACTTGAACTCGAATTTAAACTCAAATTTTATAAAAGAACATTAACTTAAATAAAATTGTAACTCAAGTTTAAATTTTTTTTAGTTTCATTGTAAAATAATAACCCCTAAATGTTACGTGTATATTTGAATTATATTTTTTTTAATGTTACAGTTAAACAAACACGCTACACAAACAGATGGACAATTACACAAAGAAGAGGTAATAATAGCAATACTAGCAAAGTAGCTAGGCTAGAGTTTTATATATATCTAGTACTGTCGGTTTTCATCAACTACCAGTCTACTATAATGGAATTATTGACAATGACAGGATAATATAATTAATATATTTTGATATTATATAGTACTATGTTACTATATACTATGTTTTATCAGAGTACATGGCAATATGGGTATACCATGATAATTATATAGTACTATTATACTATGTAATCATATACTATTTTATCATGGAACATGGCAATATGGGTATACCGATATAACGTAGTACTATGTATTTATATACTATATAGTATCAGGGTACATGACAATATGGGTCACATTTATATATCACGCTATGGTAACCAACAATTACACGTTTGGGCACATGAAAGTAATAAATCTATGTGATCTATTGTTTCGCAGACTTGTGTTCTAAATTGCTAAATATATAACTAATTTACAGTGACTAACTATATATAAGATTTATATTATTTTGGTTTTTATATATAAAAGGTAGTGTTAAGGAGCGCGAAAAAACCGATCAAACTGTAAAAATCGACCAAATTCAAATTAAATCAGACTGATCTATAATGAATGGTTTGGAAATCTAGCTAGCGTACCTGACACTGAACATCAATTCCACTTCTATTGTATTCCACATAGAGACTCCTTGAAAATTGGTCAATGTAACTACAAAAATAAATAAATAAAAATGATATAATCATGCCCAAATTTATTAATGTAGCACTGAGAATGAACATATATCTTTACTTACTACATTTCAATTTCAAGATATAACAGTGATTAAAGCATTGATATCCAATTTACTGGCTCAAAATTAAAATGGCGATATATATATATATATATATATATGCGCATTCCGTTATAAGTTCTCTTTGTATATAGGCCTACATATATATATATATATATATAGACACACACACACGTATTGGAAGTAATGCATGCCCAGCCTCCATATGTATGTTACGATTATGACTATTATTTGGACTCTCTAATTATCAATTTACCATGAATTTCAAATATGAACCTATAACCTTTTTTTTTTCTAATCGAAGCTATAAAACTTGTACCCTAAGTAATGTTCAACTTAATTAGCCTTTCCAAAAGATTATATTATTCCAATTAATTTGGCAATAAATCACTAAATCCAAAAGAGAATTAAATTTTCTCCAAACGTAAAAGGTAAACTTAATAATGATATTTGTGATCGGGGTTCAACGCACATCTGATTTATTCACCAAAAAAAAAAAAAAATCTGATTTATTGTACTCAAATTTGTTTAATAGGACCTATTGTCTATTAATCATGTTACATAGAATAGGATCGTTTTGACCAGCAAAAAAAAAGTTACATAGAAATGGATATATGGGTTTTACTGACATGAACACTTCTCAATTCTACGGAAGTCTGAAATGTGTACCTGCGCCGTTGGCTGCTATAAATATAGATCAATGAAACATAAATTACTGGAGACTATTTTATTATAATGCTTGTTTCATTAATTATCAAAAAGAAAAATGTTTGCTTATCAAAAAAGAAAAGAAAAAAAAAAAAAAAGAAAAATGTTTCTCTGACTCTGTCTTTGCCTCTCTCCTCTTTTTTTTTTAATTTTTTTATATTGAGAGAGTCTCTCTAATAAGACGTTCATGAATACCAAAAAGTTGTGAAAACCTACTAATTAAGCACCCGAAATAATTTTTTCCTTTCTTAATTTATAGTACTATTCAAGGACTTCAGGAAAGATCGATAGGGTCCTTCTCCACTCTTTTTTTTGTAATGTTTTTTTTATAGAAAAAATGACGATTCATAATTATTCACGGTTTACGTGTATTTTTTATGAGAAAAAATATTGTAACGAGCTACGAACCATGATTCGAATAATTGCACGAATCCTCATATCAATCACCCCAAAACGACTACTGTAGATCATAAAAACCGAAAGTTGTGACTATTTTCTATTTTCTTCATTGTATAAATAATAATAAAAAAAAAGGGCGTCATAAAGTAGATGGCTAAAATTAGTTAGAAAACTGAGAGACATGCAGTTAGGCAAGCAAGACCATATTACATGACATGATACTAACTGTTTTTCAGCCAAGTTACATGCTTACCAGCTCACCACATAAAAATTCGTCAATTTATAATCCTACCAACAAAAAATAAATAAATTAAAGAGTCTACAGAAAATGAAGTCAAGATTAATCTCCGAGGTAAGCTGTTGTTCTTGGTAAAACAGTTACGAAATATATATATTCAAACACGAGCTTAGAAAATTCACTAAAAGAGAAGGAAGTAAAAAAAAAAAAAATGTCTAAATCAATTAATTAAGTAGCTTTATCGCTAATTTCATGATCAAGATCACTTACTTAAGCATAAGGAATCTCATGATCAAACTCTAATTTCTAAGCCTCTGGTAGGTAAATACAAAAATTTTTGTTTTTTTGGTATGAATATTTCAAGCAATTAAGCATGTAGGAGAAACAAGGATTCAATTGGAAACAAACCAAGGAACCACGTTCATGAGTATAATATATACTAATCAAAAGAACAATATAATGTGAGCTATATATCTATAGAAATATATATATATAGTATACTTACGCTTTTGTAGCTGCGTATATTGTGTAGAGAGGATGTGAAGGAACAACAATGGAGGCACCAGATCCAATATTGACAATTGCACCTCTTTTTCTTTGAAGCATTCCCGGTAGAACAGCTCTTGTAACCCTAGTTGTACCCTCCAAATTCACCTTAACAATATTCATCCAAACTTTTTCATCCACTTCATGGAAGTACCTAGCTGCCGGGTACGTCACTCCCGCATTGTTTATCAAAACTCCGACGTCCAACCCCTCGATAGCCTCCTCGACGGCCTTGATGCCGGCAGAGACGTCACCGGAGAAGTCGAATATGACCGTTTTTATACGGGTGGTGGGAAACTCCGACAGGATCTCTTTGGATACTGTTTTTAGCTTGTTTGAGTTTCTTCCCACTAGGATTAGGTTTAGGCCTTGCTTAGCTAGTTGGTAGGCGAAGGCTTTTCCGATGCCGTCGGTGGCGCCGGTGACCATCGCCCATGAGCCGTAGATCTTGATCAGGTTCTTGGAAGGTCTGATGAAAGTGATGAACACCCATTTGAGCAAGGAAATGGATCTTCCTAGGATGGTGAAGAGTCCTAGAGAAGTGATAATTATCAGGAGAAGAAAAATGGGTTGGTTTGTAACATATAGCTGATGATGAACAAGGCATGGTAACATCTTTGTGGCTTTAGCTATTTGATCAGTTCAGATTTGGATGAAAAATATTATTATGAGATTAGTTGGGGTTCGCTAGAAATATATTTCCTATTAGGTGCTGTGTCTAGAAGGAACGATTCACCAATTTAATTAATTAATTAATTAATAATGCCAGCTGTACATGCATGAAAGAAATAGAAAACACACATATGTATGTATGTATGTATGTATGTAGGTACGTACAATGTGTAACTGTATTTATAAGTAAAATAAGGGTATAATAAGTAAAATAAGGGTACAATGTTGCATTTATTAGTTTTTGAATTTTATTTTTAATTGTGTATTTATAAGTAAAATAAGGGTATAATAGTAAATTAATATTAATATTAGAAATGAGAGTCTCAATTCTAAGGGGGGGCATGGGAGTGCCAATCTCATTCCTCAATTTCAAATTTGAGTGGGGCCCACCAATCTCACTCTCATTTAAGGATAAAAAATAGCAAGTTAACATGAGATTGACTTCCATTCCTCATTCCCATTCTTCAATTATGGTAAGTAAATATGCCATATAAGTTGTCAAGGCCATAGTGCTAGTAGAGTTAAAAAGATCTTTTTTAAAAAAAATAATATTAATTAATTAATTGTTACGTACGTACAATAAGAGAAAAATGGTTTGAACCGAACCATAAATTGGTGATCAATAAATATGCTTATGTTTCCTAGGACAAGAAGCGTCAGACCATCAATATATAGACTTGTTTAGAATTGATCCCGTTTTTATTTTTTATGTTTTTTAAGAAAGAAAAAATAAAAACATTTTTAAAACGGTGTTTGGTGCAATAAAGACAAAAAACAGAAATAAAAACGATTTTTTAGTTTAGTATAAAATAATAGAGAAATGAAAAACGACTTTTAGTCATTTTTTATTTTTTGTTTTCGTTTTCTCCTCTCTCGAGCAGAGAGAGAGAAAGAGATATATTAATAAATTTTTTATACTGAAAATAATTTCTTGATAAAACTATTAAATACATTTTTAAAAATAATTTTTATCTGAAATTAAAAATATTTTTATTTTTATTTTCATATAAAAAAATAAAATTATTTTAAAATTAGTTCTAAACGCGCCTACAATAATGGGGCAAATATGACATTGACATGGCAGAGCCGTAGAATGCAAGAAAAAAAAATGGCAATGGCACAAACCCATCATGTATTATTGGCGGTGGCAGTAAAGCCACACAGCTGCTCACAAGTGATGGCACACTTGTTTTTTTTTTTTTTGATAGCCACCACTCACCAAGTGACCCATTTGTTCATGCAATTCCGCTGATGTTGGACCCAAAAAGTAGGTGCAAATTGCAATGTCCGGGTTCTTCGCACCCCTTTCTTTGAATGATAATGTGGATGAGATGGCTCTTGGGACCGCGTTGTTTCTTGAGGGCTCAAAACTCAAATTCCACTTGAAACACGTGAATCGCAAGAATAAGGGTAAAAGATGGTGTAAAATTGCCAAACAAGATGAACACATCCTTGTTAAAATTAAGAGAAGATAAAAAATTTAGATTCACTTTCAATGTACAAACACGGGTGGGTAGTGTTCATTTTCAATTGTAAGAGAGTAATGTTCTCAACACGCCTCTTAATGAAAGAAAAAGCAAAATATTAATCATATTCTTTTTGTTGTTCGCCCAGGAGATTTTTACAGCCAGATTTTTTTAAAAAAATGAACTATTAATAGGTTGATGTTTTTCATCCGTTAGTTCTACATTTTTATTTTCTAAATAATTTTACACTAAATTAAAAATTAGAATTATTTTTAATTTTTTTATTTTTTTTTTCTAAATACGTTTTCCTTCTCAATCTCATTTTTTTATCTTAAAAAACGTGAAAAATAAAAACCAAATTGATTTCAAGCAACGGTGAATGTCTCCTCACTAGGCTGTTAGTCTTTGTCCTGTCATTAATGCTATGTTTGATAGGAAGAAAAGAAAATAAGATAGAAAGACAATATGAAAGTGATAGAAAATAGTAATGATAGAAAGGAAATTAATTTTTTTTTATGTTGTTTTTTGGTACGAGAAAATGGAAAGAAAATGAGCTTACCTTCACTTGTTTGGTATTGAAAGTTAAATTGGGAGGAAAGAAAAAATCTTACTCATAAATTACTTTTATATCCTTAAATTTTTTACTTAGATGTTGATAGGGAAAATAGTAGTTTAATAACTTTACTTATTTTAATAAGTTGTCCCTATTTTTCATTCTATTTTCTGCCCACTTGTGAAAAAAAAAATTAGTAGAGTCCACATATATTATTTTTCACTCCATTTTCAGTTGTCCCTATTTTTCATTCTATTTTCTGCCCACTTGTGAAAAAAAAAAATAATAGAGTCCACATATATTATTTTTCTCTCTCTTTTCTCTCCTACTAAACAATCTACATTTCTATTTTCCCTCTTGTAATCTCTCCACCTCCTTCCTTGCCTCGCTTCAATGCTTCGGTAGATACGTACACTGAATTCTGTGAAACTTTTCACCTATCTTTTTGGCTCTGCCGTCAATGAAAAAGATAACTGTCAGCAACTATATCTTTGAACTTTCTTCACACGTAAACAAGAATGGCCCTAAATCTTCCGAAAAAATAATAAATAAGAGGCCCCAAAGTGAAAGAAAGACAATACATCAATGAATGCTCAACTTTGTTCCTTTTCATTGAAGTGGTCCATCTCTTCAATCAAAAGACACATCACAGTATCGACAACAAGAAATAATCAATTTAAGCCAAAAAAAAAAAAAAAAAAAAAAAGAAGAAGAAAAAAAAATCGATCTCGTCCATGTATTTAGATATCAGACTTTCCCAGCCATTACTATGAAAAAAAAAAAAAAAAAAAAAAAAAAAAAAAAAAAAAAAAAAAGACTAGACGATTAGGCACTAGCTTTCTATCTATGCGGCCTTAAACTCAAATCAAGGAATCACCAACCAAATAATCCAAGTCTCCACGTTTTTCATGCACAACATTTTCTCCCACTTGGGTTCATGATTCAGCCCATTTCTTCACCATTTCTGAGCAGCATTGCCTGTGGAGAGGAACATATCTTAGCATCATGGCATTGTCATAGCAGTCCGTGTTTCCAACGAATTACGGTAGTTAAATAGTCCATGAGTTTTGACCTCAGTCGAAAGAATCGCAGCCAGAGCCCTTTGAAAAATGTTCTTGGTGGAAGGGATCATCAACACCATGAACAGAGCTCAACCTAGGAGAGTAAATCCAACCAATCATCTGCTCCAAGTCATGGTCATTCGGTCTCATGCTAGAATCTTCTTTGAACTTCAAGAAGAACGTTGATGACCAGTAATCGTTTCCCAAGTTCTTCAAAGAGGATTAATAAACAAAAAGATTTAAAAAAAACAAAAAAACAAATTCGTTAGACACCAATTTATCATAATTTAATTGAATTAGTTATGAAAGGGCCAACAAATGACCTACCATTTTCATCAACTGTATTAACTCATTTAATGCATTGCTAAAAAGGTGCGGGTCTGCTAGATTGGAAGTAGTTAGAATTTCTTGTCGGCTTCGATGAGATATGTTTACCTCCATTGTAGCTCCTGTATGATTGATCAAAATCAAGTAAACTCTCAATTGAAATATCCCCCATATAATCTGGAACTTGAAAGAGCAAAACTCAAGCTTGGAAAAACAAAAGACTTCTTCAGTAAATACTAAATAGATACGATGTAGTGACTAGTGACTAGCCTCTCCTGGAAATTTGATTTTCATCTAAAGTACAAAAGCAGCACAAATTGTTGCAGAAATTTTGAATAAATGTCATATACCTGCTTTTATGTACTTCTCAATAATATGCCGTGCCATGTAAATCCTTCTAACAGGGTCCTCTAGAGGTATTTTACCAAGTTCGTGTACTTCATCATAAAACTGCACACTCTCCCCTGCCAAACAACTGTGAATCAGAAGGAAAAAAGAGTGACAAGAATTACATATTTGTTCCAAACAAAACTTCCATAGTGTTTATGCAGGATTTTTTTAAAGCGTTAAAAGATAAAAAGTATTTCAGGGACTCGGAGATTGCACTGGTTTTGATTATTTTCTCGTATCACGGCCATGTCTTTCTAGTTATTATAGCAATTACCAACAATCATGATTGCATTCTATAACCACTTGTGGTAGTTATAACAATTACTTGCGGTAACTGTGGCAGTGACATAAAGAAAATAATCAAAACCGGTGTATCTTTAAAATACTTTTTTTGATTAGTGCTATAAATAATTAAACTTTATGCAGGATGATTTAACTATGAGAAAATATAAGATTCCATTGATCTCAATGTCGTTACATCATGCATGAAAAAACAACCATTCTATGACCCACGTCTTTTTACTCCCCCCTCAAAATCATACTTCCATAAGAAAAATAAATTCCCTAAGGAGAGATTTGAACACCTGTCTGCAAATGCCATGAAGGATTGGCGGAATCTCTTATCCTCAAGAAGTTTATCGAGCGGTTCGCTAGGATTTATCGTTGCAGGAGGTTCCCTTTGGAATAGTAGTCCGCTGTCAGGTATGCCCAGAGCTTTACCCATTGTTTCAAACTCCAGAGGTTCCCTCTTCCTTAAGCTGATTTGTGAGAGCAAAGGTTGTGAACTGGATATAGAGAACAACGTCAATACAAGAATACCTGCCTGAAAATTATACAAGATGTTAGCAAATACATGCAAATTCTAGACTTCCAACACTTGTAGAGTAATATGGAAGGTACGAAATGCCACTCGTATATTCTCATACCGTAACCAACAGAAGAAACCTGGAAGCAACTTGAAGCCATGAGATATCATCATGAATTTCATTCAAAACATAAGCAGCGACCCAAACTCCTGGAAACAATAAGCAAGCCAGTTAAGAGGCCAACTCTGAAATCTGAATAATAATAATAGTAAATCAATATACTCATACTAAATTACTAATGGAAGAACTGTCATGTGAAAAATGGAATATCTGGATCCAATTAGAGAGCCTTATTAGTCTGGTTCTCCTTCATACTCAGACAATATGAATTATGAATATGCATATCTTAACAGCATTAAGATGATTATTGAAGCCACAGATTAATTCTTTCATGTTTTAATGGTGCCTCTGCCTACGTCTTCCAGGCAAAAAACCTTGAACACTTGTGACATCATGGAAAATGTCTATATTTCTCCAAAAATTAAGCCGAGTATAAGAAGTATGATTTCTTTCAACACCTCGAAATACCATGTTAGATCGATTTGTAAGAATACCAAAAACATATTTTATGCCCATGCCTTAGTCATGTGATTATGTGCAAAAATGTAATTATTACGTGACCGGAAGTGAAAGAACCTAAAGAGCCTAGAGAAGAAGTCTACCAATGGATGAGGCTGAAACAAGTATTCCATGCCAGAGGTCTCTCAGTTCATCAAACCTGAACTCGATATGCCGTACGGCTCCAGTGAAGCCAACCAAAGCAATAACATACAGTGTGTGAAGGGACGTGACCGGAACTATCCATGGAAACTCCATGTGGCATCGATGATTCAAGGGTTTTCTGATATGCATAACTACAGTAAAAAGAATAGATTTGTTAAAAACAATAAAAATATCCTAGAAAGCTAGCAGGAAAGTGCGACTGTGATATTTACTATCGAGAACAGGGATCCTACAGGCTGTTAAACATGAAAAAATATGCACCAGATATTGGTTAAAAACTAACTCTAGATTCAGAAATGGTTCTTACACGCAGATCCGCCGATCCATGGCAAGAGAATTAGCGGAAGGAAAACATAAGATCTGATTGGCGGCAGACGCCTCCTGAAATATTGAAACCAGAGAATAAGGGGGGCAACACGATTTCATTCATAGTTCACTCGCCTAATTCAATATCAGCTTCTCAACTATGTAATGTGTGCTTACTTGACGAAAATATAATATAGTTGGAAGGCCTGCGCTATGCGACAACTCAGCAGCAATCCAAATCCAAGTGGACCTTCAATCCAGACTGAAAGCAAAAGATGCTTCAAAAACTTTGTGGAACAAAAGTAGATAAATACAGATTAACGAAAATGTAACAATGCAAAAAATACAAACTACACAAGCGCTTCAAGGAATCCAGTAATAAAAAGGGCAATAAGTAGATAAATAACCTGCCCACACATAGCAAGACCGCCACAAATGCCTCTTCTTGAATTTTAGGAAATTGAGGGAAAGCTGCGCAAACAAAATTCTAGTTCAAAAGCGCGAAATGCGAAAGGCAAAATGTGATGAACTAATATAGCCAAAAGAAAAGAAAAACAGATCAATAACCTAAACATACCACAATTGACAATACAAGGCTAAAACTAGCAAAGACTTGAATGGTTGGAATCCAGAAGCCACTGCCTTTACATCGAGGAATTTTGTGAACCGCAAAGGGCACTATTATACGTGACAGAAGCCTGAGAAGAACACAAACATATAAAAAGTAATAGCAATTAGTTTTCAATGATATTAAGAGAACACTTTCTATTAATTGAGATCATAAAAAAAGCAATTATGAAGTTGGAAATTATTAAGTAAGCAGTTATAACTCCACCTTTTGCTGACATATTAGCTACTCAATCAAGATTAACTTCTTAACTTTATCAGATTCTGCTGCAGAGAAAACTTGGATAACTATTTTCAATTGATCAACAAAAAAAGAGCTTTTATTCAGCAAAACGGAAAAGGACTCTTTTTTTTTCGTTTCTCTCGTCATCAGCTGCAAATAACTAAGAAAGCCAATTTAATTGTTCGGTTGGTGGAGTCATATTATGATTCGAATTATGTTCGTAGTTTATTTTTTAATAAAAAACACACTTAAATTAAAAATGATTCACGTAAATTTTAACCAAAAATTCACTAAACGTTTCAATAACTAAGTTGAATTCCGTTAATGGAAATGCATAAACAAGAAAGAAAAAGAAAAACCCAGAAATGGAGTTACAAAATCATGGAGATGGAGGAGATAACAATGGCTATGTAGTCGCTGGGACAGCCACCTTCCACTGCACAGCTTCCCATCCTCTTTCTCTCGCATCTGTCTTCTGTAAGCTTTGCTTCTTCTTCAGATCAAATCACTGGTACATCTTCTCTCTCCTCTCTTTCTCTCTCTTCTCTCATCGGTTTCGTAGAAGTTGAGACTTGAGACCAAAGTGGGTTTTCTCCAACTTCAAAGCAGCTGATTTCCATGTCATGTTTGACTAAATGCCTACAAAAAGGAGAAAAAACGCAGTGGCTCTTGTTTCGAAGAATGCAAAGAATTATTTAAATTTTTTCTAAAAAGAAAGTCTACGTGGCTTCTCGGAATCATATAGCGGAATTTTTAAAAATAATAATAATTTTTTGATCTTCCATTTTTTTAGGGGAATTTTTTTAATTTTTATGGTTGTAATGTAATTGTCTTCTTTTATTTTTCTTGCTTTCAAAACCAAAACTTTATTTACATTTTCCGCACTCTAGAGTCTAGTGCTACCCATAGGGCCATTGGCTAATTCCTTTTTTTTCGGGAAAAAAAAATTTGAACTCCATTTAAAAGCTGTCACCTTGGTATGGTACCAAATTTGCGCAATCCTGAACAATTGGATTTTTATCAAGATATATATATATATATATTAAAATTATGTACTGATTAATTCCTCATATCATGTTGACATAATATGATGGTACAAAAAATGCATATTACTTGTACTAATTCCACATTCTACATTTTAAAAGTATCCCATATGCACATAAATTTTGTCAAGTTATCGTTTGCCAAAGGAAGGTTTTGCTTGACGTTTATACTAATAATTTCATGCCTGGGACTGTTTTGTGTAGAGTTGATGCTGCGTGGAAGGAGTCAGGTTGTGCTGTTGGCGCCATTTTTTGGGGGAATGAAAACCAGCTGTTGGGTCTCAGAACGGATGCTGCCTCAAGCTCATCCCCTTTGGAAGCTGAGCTGCTAGCCATCAAGCTCGCCATAGGCCTGCCTTTGGAAAGGAACTGGCAGACCCTGCGAGTGGAGAGTGACTGTTTGATAGCGGTAGTGTTAGGCAATGGTCTGAATGGTGGTCCCTGTCCCTAGATGGCTTATTTAGACATTGTTCGTTTCACAGATTCAAATTTTTAATTTGAATTGATATGTAATATTTTTTAAAACTCAAAACTCAAATCGGTAAAATAAACGAAACATTAGAACGCGTTTGGAACTCGTTCTAAAATGATTTTATTTTTTGTATGAAAATGAAAATAAAAACGTTTTTAATCTCAGACATAAATCATTTTTAAAAATGCGTTTGGTAGTTTTATCAAGAGATTATTTTCTATATAAAAAACCTCATTAATGTCTCTCTTTCTCTCTCTCCTCAAGAGATGAGAAAACGAAAACAAAAAATGAAAAACAACTAAAAGTCGTTTTTTATTTCTCTCTTAATTTACACTAAACTAAAAAATCATTTTCATTTCTTTTTTTTTGTCTTTATTATGCTAAACATCGTTTTGAAAACGTTTTTATTTTTTCTTTCTCAAAAAACGTGAAAAAAATGATCAATTCCAAACACGGGCTTAGGCCTCGTTCATTTCACCGATTCGAGTTTTCAGTTTTAGGTTTCTACAGTAAAAGGCTCTCAGAAAATGTCACATCTAACTTTTTTCTCCTACAGTGAAAAGCTCTCAGAAAAATATCACATCTCAGTTCAAATTAAAAACTCGAATTCGCGAAGTGAACGAAGCCTTAATGTCTTAAGTTTGTTTCTGTTTCCTTCAAGTGGATCCCTAAGTTCAGGAATTTAGGAGCTCATTCGCTAGTAAAATGGGCTCTTCAGGAGTCTAGATTTGGCTGGTGTACTATTCATGAGGTTCCCCCTGCTGTGAGTTCCATCTTTTTCAGCTAATATTGTTCTTATTTATTTCACTAGTTTAGTTTAGTTCAACTCAATTGAACAATAAATACAGTTTGAACTGACGTTTAGTAAGCATATAGTTTGAATTATATATCTCATTTGAACTGAGTTAAACAACCTAACTTAGAGTTTAGCTCCCCTCAAGTTCAACCGTTCAAATAATTTTTTAACAGTAAAAAATACCTACTCTCTCTACTTTTCACACCTATCAAATACAAATTCAAATTTTATTCTCTATTCAAATTAAAATTTTAATTACACATTCAAACGTTAATTCAAATTACAATTTAAATCACACAATTTGAATTTTTCTGTTTAAATTAAGAAGTTTAAACCGAGAAAATTCAAACCAACAAAACAAATGGAACATTATAGACTCCCCTTTCCAGAGCCAAAAAAATAAATAAATAAACAAATACTCTTTCGTTTGAAAAAAAAAAAAAAGAAAAAGAAAAAGAAAAAGAAATGTTCACAAGTGAGAAATTTATTAGAATGGCCAACATTCTTCTACTCTATATGTGGCTGATCTAAGTTGAGACAGAAACAAACAAGAACAATGTATAATTTCATTGCCAAGAGGATTCTTCTATCTACGTTACTCTCCTCTTATACAGCAATGCAAAGCCTAAAAAAAAGAGGAGGAAAAAGTAAACTCTCAAGTTTATGGGGTGTTAAAAGAAAGAAAAAAAATAAAGGAAAATAGTGTCTCCATTGGAGACTCTCCAATCTACATTGGCCTGCTCTTGAACAGAACTCTTATGTCCTAAACCACCAGCAACGCCTACTCTTCTCTCGTCCAGGCGCTTTTGCGATGAGGAAATGAAGCAACTCAAAAGCAGCAAAACCATTTGCTCTGCACTCCAAAATGCACATTTCAGATCAAACTTCAACATGATATTTCTTGCTCAAGTCTAAATTGCAGCAAGGGATTACCTTTGTCGGGTACTTGAAGTTGCTAGTTTGCTTTGGCGCGGCATATTTGCAAGGCGATGTTGCTGCCACATTCCCAGCAACACCACCAGTTTTCTTTTCATCACTAGCCTTGTTGAATATGACCGTAAATCCGTCGGCTGAGGCCGGGTCATTTACATCCCACTCGCCAAATTTTGGAAGAGGCCTAGCATTCTCATGCTGCAAATGATTCAATCTTGTGAGTTCATGGGAAATTGGGAATTTTCACAGGAAGTCACTCCAAGAAAATGCACTAGGGAAATTTGGATGGCATAAAAGGGAAATGGGAAGCATTCACAGATTTTGTGGATATGAAAAACTATGCCCTTAAAATTCTTTTCAGCTAATTGGCCATAAAACAAACTTAGCAAGCTAAATAAATCCCAGTTGAACCAAACTCATACATACATATAGATAGATTCAATATTCTTTCTTCCTGGAATAAAAGATGAAAACTTGTCATATATTTAAGCAAAAAGAAGGCAAATTCAATGAAACCTCAAACTGAATTCTAATCCAAGGTTCCCAAAACACTCGTTAGCTCACTGCCTTAAAGGAAAAATCATCATCAAAACTCCTACTTTCTTCGTATCACCCAATTGAAAAAAAAAAAAAAAAAAAAAAAAAAAAAAAAAAACAAATATTTTTTTAATATAATTGAGATCAACCCAATAAGAATAACATTTAAAAAAAAAAATTACCCAATGAAATTGACACCGTTCACAAGGAAGAACTACTCGTATAAAAGAAAAGAATCCACTTTTTTTTTCTGATCAAACTGATAAACAAGAGAAAGGATCTTATCTTACCGATGACATGATTGAAAGAAATCGGAGAGAATTGGAATATCCGAGGAAATGGGTGTTGAAGGACAAAGAGAAATTATTCGGAGAGGACAACGTTGTTGTCGTTAAATGTTGAATGTTGATGGAATAAGAGAGAGAAGAATAACAGCCGTTTTAAAGAGAGAGAAGAACAACAAAACGGCATTATTATTTTCTGTTTTACCTTCCTTTCCACGAACACGATGTGTACTTGTCTTTGACACGGAAGGAAAAAACACACACACAAAACTAGACTTTCCTTTTACGTCATCAATCAACCCAAAAACGGGGCCTAAAACAAGAAAAAACGAAAACCAAACAACGGAAGTTTCAAAACGGTGCGCGTTTAGCCAGATGCGAGAAAGCTGTCCCCCCTTTTTCTTTTTAAAAATAATTGACGAAGTTTTTTTTCTTCTTTTTTTTTTTGAGACAATAACCGTTGAATAAGTCTAGCGGTTTTGTGACTCTTGTCGAAACATTACACGCATATAAACATTCATATATATATATATATATTAGTTTTCAACATTGATTCATTTAAAATAACATGTATATAAATTATTTTAGAAAAAAAGTGAGGAAAAAAAAAAGGCATTAAACAAATGATAACAAAAGAGGAAACAAATCTGAATTAAAACACAGGGGAAAAAAATTAAGCTTAAGCAAAGACTAAGGAAAAAAAATTTAACTTATTTCTTTGTGTTTTAAATTAATTCTATTTTGTTTTGCTTTATTTATTTTTTATTTAATTTTGTGTGATTTTATTTTTAATGTATTTTTATTTAATTTCATTCTATTAATTATATTATTTTTATATGAGTATTATCGAAAATTTAAACGTAAAACGGTATTAAAACGAATTAAACTGAGTACAAATCAATTCACAATTAATAAATAAATACAATAAATAATAATAGTAAAAGAAATAAACCGGAAATTTTTCAAACCGCCGGATTAGGAAGACTAGCGGTTTAGATTGGCAAGTGACGTACACGCGCAGGGGGGCGCGCATTCCGCAGGGAGAAGGGGAGGCATGTGGGCCCCGCCACTTTCTCCATCAGTCCAATCACAAAACGACACGTGGCAATGGATGTTGGCCACTAAAAGGTGCGTAGGATCCTCTGCTGCGTGCTTGTGAGCTCTTTTTTCTTTTCCTACAAATGTGTATTTGACACTTGGCCATCCATTAGGCTAACGAATTGGAACTTGAAACGCGGATCACAGTTAAGGGAACATCCAATCCGCGAGCGACGCGTAATTTTCTCAGTGAGGCGCACCGGATTCCTTTTTCCAGCAGCAAAAAAGAAAAAAAAAACACGCTGGACGAAACGTTTGGTTCAGCACGATCAAAAAAGCCCATTCTCCCTTATATGTATGTATAGATATAGACACATTTTGTGCTGTCGTTTTGTATGTATAGCCGTTTTATTCTGTGTTGTCGTTTTTTATATACTGCCCGTTTCCCAATTAACCCGTTTAGTGAATCATTTGTCGCACGATGTATTAATTTTGTGAAGAAATTGTCGTTAATTCAGTACGATGTCGTATTCTACTATGCTGTCGTTTTTTTCCTCCCACTTTGAAATTGATGTCGTTTTTAGCCTTATTAACAGTTGACGCGAGTGTTGCGCTTCAATTGGCCTCTCACAACCAGGCTTTGCTAAAATATAAAAAACATCAGAATTTGGAAAACACAATTGCAATTGTGCAAGTTCAAGATGGCATTTCCCTAGTATGATTTAGCAGAATGTTCAACAAAGTTTGAGGTTCATTCACAAACCTTTTCCGCCAGAAAGACTCAAGGAACGTTCATAACAAATAGCAAGAACACTAAATAGTTATGCAGAATTCAAAACTTGAAAAAAGAAAGAAGAAAATAAGAAAAAGGAAGATGCTGAGAAGAATTGTGGGAAGCAGGAATCGAACATCGATATAAGGCGTCACAATCATATAGTATGGTTTTTACCGTATAATACACATTCATACTCCTCTATAGTTAGCAAAAGGGAATAGAACAGTGAATTTGGTAAGTTTTTCCAATTTGGTTTTCCTGTGTAAGATGGCAAATTTTCCATCTCGTGCATATTCTCATCAGTCATGTAAATGAGTTAGCAGCAAAACCATCGAAATCATGTCTTTCTATTGTTTCTTTGTCATTCTAGATAGTAGACTTTGTGCAATTAAAAACTGATATAATGAACATGGTAACATTAGTCTTTTTTTTTTCTTTTTTCTTTTTCTTTTATTAGAACATTAGCATGGTACGAAACTGTAAAATTTTCACACCTTTAACCTTTCTCTGTATAATCTATTTTAGACTGCTTGCCTATAACACCGATTTAAATCCTTTGGACGGGAAATCATCCCTGCTAAAAAAGAAGAAGAATATCGAAATCATTCCTCAGTCACAAACAATATGCTGAACAGATTAATACTTATAAGAGAAATTTACAAAGAAGAAAACCAGCCCACGTTACCGTTGCTTTGCATCATGGTCTTTCTTCTGCCTCTCTTGCTTCTTTTTCTTCCTATCCCAACCACCATTAAGTTCAACGAGGCTTGCCATACATGAGAACATTCCAAAATGTTCGGGAAGACCCCGAATCGACACATTCTTAGCTCTTTTCCTTCTCAGATCATACAATATAAACCTCTCGTTTGTATGCAAAATAACTTGATCGCCACTCTTCAAATAGGCAAAAGGAACCAAGTAACCGAAAATCCCAATCGCCTCCGAGGGCTCCACAGTAAACATCTTATTCCAAGACCCCTTAACCCCATATTCCTTCATCACCCAGATATCAACCCTGCGTGACCAGAACATGTCCACAATTATTTCCATGAAATAGTTACAAGTGACACAAAGTGACGATCCCAAAACGTCCAAAAACATTTCAACATACCCATTCTTCCAATACTCGGGCTTTGGAATCTCAATGTACTGCTCGGTCACAAGATCAAACGCAACAATTGACTCCGAAGAATCAGACTTTTGGGGCTGTTTGGAAGCCACCCAATGCAAAGCATTTCCTAGGAGAACGCCATTGGGCGTCTTGAGATCAATCAAATAAGGCAAGAAAATCTTGCTACTCCTCCAAGAATCGGTCTTTGTGGTGTAAACCGCAATATCGGACTCGAAAGAATCCTCAAGTTCGCCATGAAACTGAGTTATCTTCACCAGCTTGTAGTCATCGTTAATGGGGTCGTGCCCAAATCCGTAAAAGTGGAAACCATGGTAGTAAAAGCTAGAAGGTTCGTCGACGTCTTTAGATGCGGGTAGTTTCCTGTATTTTCTGGTGGAGGGGTTCCAGAAAACGACGTCCTCGCGGAAGTTCAAGAGAGCGACCAAGCCGTTGCAAGAACCCAAGATGAAGATCTCGCTGCCGTCGTCGATTGGGTGGTTGAGTTTGACGGCGGCGGCGCCGCCGAGCGAGTCGAGGTCGATCCTGAGGATGTCGTTTTTGTTGAAGAGAACGGCGGCGAGGTTGGAGTTGGATTGCTTGGAGTGATTGAGGTGGAGCTTGATGAAATCAGGGCCGTCGATGAGGGAGCGCCATTGCTTGGAGACGCACCTGTAGCGCAGGAGATCATTCACCGGTAGGCGGTAGAGTATGTCGACGATTATCTCCAAAGGAAGGAAAGTCGCCATTGTCGTTTTGGTTTTCAGTAGAAAATATTGCTCTCTTCTTTGACGAGAAATTTGCTGAAAAGACCGGGGCTTATTTGGACTTTCAATTGACCCACTCGCAGCACTTCTGCCGTATAAGTAGGATTTTGTGGCCCAATGCCGAAAGGCGCACATCAAGTTTTTTATCTTTTTTTTTTCTTTTTGAGAAAATTAAATATATCCTTTTCTATGAAAAAAAAAAAAAAAAAAACTCACTTGTTTTTAAAGAAAAAAAAAACAATAAACACTCATTTATTTATTTTTGTCATTTTTAAAATCTGTTATTCCTATTTCTTTTTAACTCATTCAGAAGTAAAAGCTAAAATCTTGTTATCGTACTATGTGTTTAAAAATTTGTTTATTCAAAGCTGCATGAATTAATTTAGAAGAAATAAAGAAAAGAAAAGGGAGAAAAAAGAAAGGATAGAAGAAAAAAAGACAAAAGTGGAAAAAAAATATATTTGAAGCAAAACAGCAGGGGTTATCGTACTATGTGTTTAAAAATTTGTTTATTCAAAGCTGCATGAATTAATTTAGAAGAAATAAAGAAAAGAAAAGGGAGAAAAAAGAAAGGATAGAAGAAAAAAAGACAAAAAAATAACTTAAGCTAAAAAGAACTTAAGAAAAAAAAAGAGTAGGGAAATGTTTCGCAATTGAAGTTAAAATTTATGAGGATGATAATAAGTAAAAATTATTTATGTAAAGAAATATTTGAGAATAAATTAATTAAGCATGATGATTAAAAAATATTTAAATGATATATATTTAAAAATACATAAAAGTTAAAGGTTAAAAGATACAACAAAAAAATAAAAAGAGGAAAAAAAAAAGAAAAGAAAAATTGAAAAAAAGCTTAAAAAGAAAAGAAAAGAAATGAGCTAATAAGTATTTAAAAAGACGGATATTTTTTGGTACGTCTGGCATATCGGTAGGTCAGGGTTTTCAAACCGTTGGATCTGTATATTTTTTGACTTTTACGTGATTTTATGAAGATCCGACGAATAGAAAACTTAGGTGGCGTTTGGTTCATGGATTCAAAATCATAGTTCATGATTCTGATTCTAATTTTTGAAATTTAATTTTTTTTTTTTTTTGTGAGAGAAAAACAATGTAGTAGAATTAAGAACCATGATCATAAACTAAGCAGAACCCATAAAACAAATGTCTCCTTAACCTGCCGATATGTTAACGTACCGAATAAGGTTCCTTAAAAAAATGTGGGGGCAATTTGCAGATTCCCACTTAGTAATATGGAATGGATATAACACATTCCTAAGAAAAATATTCATATATACATACGTGTTATTATTGTTTCTATTGTCTGAGAAAAAAATTGAATTTCATGTTTTCATTAAAACGTAAAAAATATGTACTTTTCATTGGAAACATATTGTACATATTGAGTGATCTCCCCACCATTCTAAATCTAAATTACATAGTCTATTTTCTGACTGAGATGTGGTTTATTTAGAATTATTTCGAAGGGGTCGGATCATATTTTAGTGTCACTAGTTGAAGGAGTTATCTCCGTCATTAGATAAAGCGTGCGTTTGTATTATCTAATCATGTAAGTAGCACCTGATTCTTGACTCTAATTTTGACTTGTATCTTAATCTTTTGCCTTGAAAAAAATACTTTTCATTGGAAACATATTGTACACTTGAGATACGTATAGGTAGTTTTCAGGCCAAAACTTTTATTTTAGCGCTTCCATTTTCCTTTTTTGTTTTCTGGTCGAGCTTTTTTTCCGTTAAAATGAATATATATCATTCAAGTTCAATATTTTTGTTATATTTAGACGTAATGTCGAATACATTTACGTATTTTTGACATATTTTTATGCCAAATGGGCCTCCTATTTGTCAAACGTGGGACATAAATGTGATGAAAAAAAGCCAAGATTGCGACGGTCCAAGGAAAAAAAAAAAAGAGAAATAGTAAAAAATTGGTCAATATGAAAAGCTTAAAAAAGTATATAGGTCAATTTTTAGTTATAGAAATTAATAGGTCATAACTTACCAAGTTATGGTTCATAACCAGATAAATTATGAATAAATTTATAAAGTTATAATTCATAGTCAGACAAGTTATGAACAAAAACCGTGAATAACCTGTCAAGTTATGGTTCATAACCAGACAAATTATGGACGAAAACAATAATTTAACCTATTTATTAACTTATGTAAACTATTAACCTGTTAATTTTAATTCATCTCAAATCTTGACCTATTTCCCTCTTTCTCAAAAAAAAAAAAAAAAAAAAGCACGCTATGTTTGAAGGAATCATCTCTCTATTTATCCAAGACTTTTATACATGTATATTGTCCATATACAACTTTCTTTGGCGACAAAATTAACTTAATATCACAAAATGAGAAGAGAAAGAAACATATATGATATATATGTATTGCAAGGATGCACTATTGACGAACTTGAAGCACGCTTTATAGCACAATCCAAGTTGTGTAGTAGATAGCAGTCTGTCTTCTCAATTTGGTTCGATGAGCTCGATTCCTAGCGCCATACCCACCAAGTTGTTTTCCGCGTGAGAAGCCATAGGTACGATCATGCTGGAAGATAGAATGGTCGCATAGCCATACGCGAGTCTCAATTTTGGTTCGATGAGCTCGATTCGTAGCGCCATATAATCCCGCCCACCAAGTTGTTTGCCGCGTGTGAAGCCATAGGTACGACTATGCTCGAAGATAGAATGGTCGCGTATCCATACATGAGTCCGACGAAAGTTGCCCTGAGAAGCATCAAAGGAATAAAACGAAGATATGACATGACGAAGTAAACATGTGGGAAATGGACTTTGTTTCTTTTTGTTTCGGAGATTCAGAATCTCATTTGAGTACAACACTGTTTGCAACTGTCATGTGAACTGAAGATATACTTCGCAACTTAACAGCGACCTGAAAAGACTGGAGAAATCCCATTTTGCTCAGTTTCAGGAAGGAGAAAAGGAAAAAAAAAAGGTGCTATTTATTATACCATTGGTGATATACGTGCCACATTGTCACTCCATCAAAACTGCCACATAGCAGTGTGACTGAGAATAGTAATTTTATTTTTTCACATATGAAAATTCTATTTTAATTTCACATGTATGGTGATGCATCACTAACAGTAATTAATAGCAGTTCTCAAAAGAAAATTGGAAATGCGGGGACAAGGGACAATTAAAGTTAAGTGAACTAGAGAAATAGAGGAGGAAAGAAAAAAACATATTAGTTAGAGATTAGTCTAGAGAATAGTACCAGACAGCAAAGGAGTACTTCCTGCCCCCTCCGAGGTGTAGAACACCGAAA